CTCTCACAGATGTACCATACTGCCTTCATCAGCTTCACCAGAACTGGGAGAGGTTACACTTATGCATGAGAGAGACTCATCATTTGGAGAACTATTAACATGTTTGTATTTCTGGAACATGCCACCCAGTGCAACAGTGGAGGTCCACAGCACAGAGAGATAAATGCCATGCTTTGGCTAAACAGACAGTTACTTGGTAGCAGGATCAAATCATTGGTGGTTTTGGTCCTTGTCATTAGTCAGTAATAAGACTAAAGATTATCACTAGCCTTATCCTCAAATGGTAAAGCACCACTATTCTTTATACAACTGACATATTACTTGAATTGTATTTGGATGGAATAATGGACGGACTTTGTATTAATAAAGCCAATTGGGCAATTAGTGTTCACAGCGGCTGTGTGAACACAACATCAAGAAATGTATTTAAAAATGTATTTTCACAAGCTCCTGATCCTCTCCGACTGTGCTGGTGCCTTTATTCTTAGTATATGCATAACAAGGATCATTCCCATAAAAAATACTTTAGACCTCATTCATCAGTTGAAATGATCCTGGATGCCTTGTGTGATTGTTGAGACGTCCTCACTGTACCAGTCAGAGCAAATTGTACATCAAATGCAACTGGAGAATTAAATCCATTTGGAACCAATCCTACATTTATATACCACACTTGGGAAATTAGGCCTGCTTAGTGATGTTTGGCATATAAAAAGGCACACTTGGTCCAGCTACATACCATTGGGTGCAAATGTTTGCATCCCCTTACTTTGAAATTATTACAAAATACACCAAGACAACAGTTAGTAATGTCACCTCACAGCAACAAGGTTCCAGGTTCGAGCCCCAGCCACCCTGTGTTGTTCTGTGTGGAGCTTGCATGTTCTGCCTGGGCCTGCGTGGGTTCTCTCTGGGTACTCCGGCTTCCCCTCCACAGTCCAAAGACATGCAGCTAAAGTTGATTGGTGACTCTAAATTGCCTGTAGGTATGTCAGTGTGTGGTTGTTAGTCTACATGTCAGCCCTGTGACAGACTGCCAACCTGTCCGGGGTGTACCCCACCTCTTGCCCTCAATGTCAGCTAGGATTATTCAGGAATAAGCGGTATAGATAATGGAAGGATACCATAACTTTCTTTTTGTATACATGCCCTGACTGGATACCATAACTTTCTTTTTGTATACACTCCCTGACTATTTTTTTTACTTCTGTTGATGAAGGAACATCTGTACTATGTGATGGTGCATTAAATATTATGTTGATGAGAAAATGATTCTTTTAGTCTGTTGTTCAAAGTAAGGGGATGCAAAATTTTGCACTCAGCTGTACATAGCTTTCATATAATCAGTCTTCCTAATGTAACCGAAGATACAAGAAACAGCTACATATGATAGCAGGTCTGCATGTTTCAGTATGGCACTTGTTCTCTAGAGAAATGTTTTATATCATTCCAACAAGTATAATTACAGGTGTTTCCATTTATAACTTAGAAAATGTATATTTATACAAAGAAGAAAAGAAAGTGAAAATGAAAGAAAGACACACTGAAATCAAACTTTAACATGAAACTCAAATTAGCAACCTATAAAAGGTAACTAAAGGTCAATCTCAACCTTCCAACAGCCTTTATCATCAACCAGACTGAATTTCCATCAACAGGGATTCACCTTGTTTGTGTAGATGGGAAAAGACACACCACTGAGAATGGTTGTTCCACCACAGGAGGGCAAACAGCATCCTAGCCAGTGATTCCTGTATTCAGTACTTCAGGTATGTCCTCCATGAATTTAGCAATAAATAAGTAAATCCATGCCAAGCTGAGAAACTTGTCCAGGGATTTGTAGGAACACTTAATAAGAAAACAAAACCAAGACAAATGTTTTTTTTAACAAATCAGCAAAAGAATATCCTATTGTTGACTTAAGCGAACACTTTCTGTGGAGCGTCCTGCGCTCCTGCCTTGCCTGACATCTTCCTATACACTGACATGAGTTCAATTCTGCTTTGAACCTGTTTTAGGTTTCAAGTCTCGCTGTGCTGTCAAGGTACAATACAAGTTGCTTTTCGAAGGGCCAGGTAGCCTGTAACAACATCAGTTGGGAGGAGGCGGATGTAGGAGAACTCCTCAGAGGACGTAAAGCGGAGCTTTGTCTGAGGGTCTGTGTAGTTTGCCTGAGGAAAGACAAGAGAGATTAATCAGCATGTGCTTTATACAAGACTTAAAAGTAATGTTGTTTATTGTCCAGTGAAGATTTTATTCCTCACAGGGAGTCCAGAGATGTCAGAGTATTTCTTAGCTGGCTTCAAGGAAGGAGGGGCATCAATGCTGTAGTCTGTGAACACAGAAAGGTAATAAACTGAACTACTGATTATTACAGATGTGCCATTATGGACATTTCTTCTACAGCAACACATCACTGCAGCCTTTCCTATATTATTATTATACAGCTCAGACATACAGTATACTGTAAAGAACAATTAAGATTAGAGATGAGATTTTTAAAGAGAAATGGAAATTATTAATTTCTTGACAACTTCAGCTTAATGACATTCAGTTTCAAACTAGACTTTAGTAACATAAGGTCACACTATGAAATGTAATTTTGCTTTAAGATGGCAAAACTACAGTACCTATAATATACATATAAGGTACTTGCATGATTTTTTTTTTTTTTAAATCATGAAAGAAAATGTGTCTTAGTCATTACTTGCATTCATATAAGCATCAGTGTGTTAGAAATCTGAATACAGAAATAAAGCCCAATTATTTAGGGCTAACAAATATACAGCATGTCCCAGGTAAAATTAAGATGGAAAAACTCACAGTTGGGATCGCTGAGCTTCCAGGGTAAAGTTCGCTCCAAAGCCAGAATCTGTTTGAGATTCTTCCAGGTCCTGTTCTTTTTACCTGCTGCTGCTCCACCAATCGCTGAATGCTGTCCAGATTGGGAAAAAAAAGTAGACAGAAATTGGAGGGAGAAGCAACAGCAGCAGATTAACTTCAATCCAAGTGGACACTCACCATAAATGTGGGGTCTTTGAATGGTGGAGGTTTTGCTGTGGACTCTGTCATGGCAGTTGGACCTATGTCTGCTGATCCTACTGCTTTTACCTCTGCCACCATCTCTACTGCTGGTATCTGAAGAAACACCAAAGACAACACCTCTTGAGACCAGAATTATGATGGAGTCATTTCAGGTTATAGGTTACTTCTTTTACATGAACTGTGAATCTAAAGCAGTCCTTCTCAAATAGTGGGGCGCGCCCCCCTGGGGGGGGCACATGTGACGCCAGGAACATGCTTTTTTTTTTTTTGCCACAGGAAGTAGGGGGTTTTGCACCGAACAAGAGCACACAGCACAGAGCAGGAGATATGACATGCAGTGAACAAACCCTTAGGAGACACCATGGAAAAATATTTAACAGGGAGAAAGGCGGAGAGAGACGGAGATAATGAGACAAATGTAAGTCTCCCGAAAGCTAAGACGAGGAAATATGATGAAGCATATGTAGCGCTTGGCTTCACTGTGACTAAGGTGGGAGACGAGGAAAGACCGGTATGTTTACTGTCTAAAAATGTTGGCAGCGGACAGCATGAAGCCAAATAAATTAAGGCATCACTTAAAGACATTACACCCCAATCACGCTGATAAGCCGCTTGAGTTTTTTCAGCGAAAACGTATCAAATGGTCAAAAAATGTTTACAGTTTAAATAAGGATTGAATTTTTTTTTAAATTTCAGGCAAATTGACTTTAAGTCTTTTCTGTTACAGACTAAAAAACAATGTTAATAAAGTTATTCTTTGTTGTAAGTTGATCTATATTTCTTTCTTTTTTCTTTTTTTGTTTTCTTTAATGTTAATAAGGATACAATGTTATGCAGAGGTGTACTTATAACAATTTTATAGACAAATGATACTATATACAGTCGCGGCGGAGAGTTGGGGGGCGTGAAATGTTTACTTCTTCCTGGGGGGGGTGTAACAGAAAATAATTGAGAAGCACTGATCTAAAGTAACTCAGAATACTCTGTAATGTGGCTGTTATGGAATGCATGACTCAAATCACATTTGGAGGACACAAATGAAATGGGGATTTTATTAATATTTGAAAATTCTTATATAGAAATGTGCACCACTTCAATAAGCCTTGTCATTGTCTGTTTTTGCAGTAAAGAATCATGCTACACATAATATACAGTAGTTTCAGAAACTACTCAGACCACTTTTTGCTATTTATTCTGTTCTAGATTTAATTCTAAGTAAATGCTTCTTACATTTCACGATTATTGAGGCCACTGTGCTCCTGGAAACACTCAAAGCTATACAAATGATTTTATATCCTTGTCCTATCAAATTACTTTATTGTTTGTGTTTCATCAGCAGAGGAGACGATGGGGAATACTGACTTCTTCACTGTTGATCTTGTTTCCACTGAGCAGCCAAATTAAAACCCTCACTTTCTAGATGTTAAGTGACACTAAGCGTGTTCAGCAAAGCAGCCACATGTTTGTATTTGTGCTGGTCTGTGACATTCTTGTATTTTCTCCTTGTATTTTGTTGTACCTGCTGAAGGGTTTCACATAATTTTATTATGGAGGTCTATAAAGAGTTCCATGGATTTCAGGGTTTGGTTTTTGCCCTGACAGGCAGCATGAACTGTGGGACCTTATACATAATGCACAAGTGTGTCTCTTTCTAATTATATCTGAAAGTGAAAGGGTCTGAATACATTCTGAAGCCACTGTAGAAATTAGAATATACTGCAGTTTTGTACACTGATACATTTGTACTACGCTGCTTATTTGTACTTTTATATACTCAGTAATATTGTTCTGAGCCCTAAGTAATACTCAGGAATTCCACTGCAATATGCAACATTACGACAGAAACAACATTATTACTATGTTCTCCATAGAGCGATGAATAGTGTAACCATTACTGTTCATTAATAACATCCCGTACAAAAAATAAAAGAAATAAACACAAGACATAATGGACAGACTGGGCAAATGAAAATAAGTGGAAATGCATATTTTAATGAGAAAAGGGCTCAGTAGCATATGCTGTGTTTATGAAAACCAAATCAAGGAATGAGTTTTAAATTTCCTGTACAAAGAAAAGAAAGTCTGGCTTCATTCCAGAGTCCAAAAGACTTGTCAATAGCCAAGGTTTATTTGACTTATTTACAAAAGCGTGGTCCCGTGGAGGACTTGCCCTCAAGTAACCTTCAAAAAGAAATAATACCAAAACAGACAAATAAAAGCTACAAAAGGTAAACGAGATAACGTTAGTCATTTTACTCCATTCAGGCTACAAACTGATAAGTGCAGTTTGCTACATTTGATAGGAAGTGTGTGGAGGAATGTGGGTAAAGCACCATAACAGAGAAGTGACGTTACCAGTGTCTGTATTGCTGGCGTCGCTGTCACTGGTCCTTTCTTCTTCTTGCTGCTGCTCCCGGTAGCCTGCTGCGCTGCACACACCGCCGGACTAGCCGCACGTTTCTTGCCCCGGGCTGCGGCAGAGATCGCTGCTGCCGGCTGGGCTCTAATTGTTATGGGGATCTGAGACGCCATTTATACTCGCACAGCATCAAAATAGTTGTAACATACGACATGTACGCAGCTTTCTCGCTCGGTACCAAGCATTAGCCGTCCACCTTCACCCGGAAACGGAACTAAATCACTTCCGTTGTTAGAAGTCGTTCAAATAATTTTCTTACTTTTACTTCAATATAAATGTTATTCGATTTTTAAAAACAAAAGTTGAATGTAAATGCAGTAAATATTTTTAAACAATTGTTTGAGACCATATACATGCAGACAATATAATACAACCAAGAGAATAGAAAATTCAATGAGGAATATTCAGATTAATATATTTTGGTTTGGATATGGTAAATGGTAAATGGACTGTATTTTATATAGCGCTTTCTCACAGTGTGTTACACTGGCCAAAGCGCTTTACAGGAGATTATACACCATTCACCCATTCACACACACATTCACACACCGATGACGAGATAGGCTGAATTTGATGCCTCCAACACATTCCAACAGTGTGACTGTGTAAATAGCTTTATATCGCCACAACATGAGTAATATCAGCCCCCCACCCAACGCACATTTACTCTGAATTGAAATTTTATCATAGTTTGACTGTTCAGACATATTATTCTGGCAAGTTTTAAATATTATGCATAAGGTATAAAAATACATCGTTCATCAAATTTCTAATAAAACCTATGCTAATACTTGTATTACTGAAACCTGTAGGCGCAGCAGAGACAGACACAGACTCTTTTTAGTGAAGTGTTGCTGCCCCCTTGTGTTCCTTGGGGGGTTCTGCATAGTCCTGCATGAACACAGTGAGAAGACTGGGCCACATGATCAAACTGGAAACCCTGTAAAGGTGCACAGTGCACTTTTGATAAGTAGCACAGTCAGTGACTTGGTTGCATTTACTTTGCTGCCTTTTTTGCTCTTCTGTCTCACTATCTCATCTTAAAGAAGTAACTAAAAGGTTTTCTTCTCCATTCTGTTCTTTCCATTATTTCCTATTCTTCAGTCAAGTTTTTATTCAATATATAGCAAAAATATATATAACAATGACAAGCACATAGTACTTGTAGCTCTCTGTTCCAGTTCCAGCCATGCTTTGGGATTTATAACTATTCCAACACAATATATGCCCATTACCCTAAAGAAATAACTTGCAGCCAACAAACCAAAACAGCAGACACTAAAATTATACTGTCAGAAATCAATTTTCTTCTTCAAGAAACAGTAGATCTGCTGATAGTCCCTATGCTCCTTGAAAGTGTTTCTGTCATAAGATTGATTTAACTCTATTTCCACAAATAATAAAGCTGTAAAAAGTGCTTTTAAACTAACCACACAGTTACAATATTGACCTGTGTAAACACACAGGACAACATATTGCAGAGAAACCTCTCATTCACATAAACTGAAAATGTCTAAAACTTGCACCTTTTAGACATGAGCAGTCTGGTCTAATTATCTGGCCTGTTTACTTATCAGAGCAGAATATCTTATTTATTGGGCACACAAGCAATATCTCAAAGTTATTATCCAAAAGGTGGCTCCGTATGGTGCTGGAAATGTCCTTGCCAATGCTGAAAATCCACTCACATGCAGCATTTCAAAATTTCATCATCCTTTGTATGGCCCAGATTGGTTTGTAGTTTCAGTAGTTAACTACACATAAAATTACAAGGAAAAAAAATAATAATTTAACAATTTGAATCATAATGCAAATAGTTTATGAATGCAGTTGAACTACCAGTAACCTACTGCAAATATAGTTCACCTACTATTTGAATTACATACAGTCAGAGGTGGAAAGCAAGTGCTTTACTCAAGTACTGTACTTAAGTACAATTTGGAGGCATCTATATTTTAATTGAGTATTTTCATTTTGTGCTACTTCATGCTTTGACTTCATTACATTTCAGAGGCAAATATTGTACTGTACTTTTTATGGCACTACATTGATCTGATAACTTAGGTTACTAGTTACTTTTTAGAATCAGGACAATAAAACTATAATCATAAGACTTTGTTGATTTTTGGTAAGAAATTTACAAACTACCCAGCAGTAAGTCAGATTATAAACATATAGGGTAGTTTACATTAGCTCCACCTTTGCCAGCTGCAACATTAAATCTGATGTGCACCTGTAACTATAATCCAATAATATAATATACGAGTTGAAATGTGTGAAAATGGGTTCCATGTGTCATAAAGAGCTGATAAACTATTCTTGTGAGTAGATGCCATTTTCTCTAGTGTGATGTATTCTATCAGAAGGTTGGTTCAGTGGTTTATGTGTAGAGATTTTTTTGATTTACAGTTTTGAAAGATCGTTTTCTTGGTAATAGCTAAAGAAATGAGTTGGGTTTTGTATTTACTTGGTAGGTGGTCGATCTCTATGATATTACCGAGTAAGCAAAGTGATGGAGGAGGAGGGATTCTACAGCCCAAAATGGTGGAGAGTTTCTCTGGATCTCTGGAGGAATGAACTGGTTGGCAGGTCCAAGTAGCATGAAAATAATTGTCAGTGCAACCTAGAGTGCATTGTGAACAGATGTACAGGTGCAGCTCAATAAATTAGAATATCGTGGAGAAGTCCATTTATTTCAGTAATTCAGCTCAAATAGTGAAACTCGTGTATTGTCAGAATTCGGCGCGTGATGCGGCCGAAAAGTGTTTTGGTGAACTCAATTATAATGCCAGACGAGTAAGTGTAAAACAAAAACGTCTCTTTAATAAGGGAACTAACATTGAACAACGGAAACTACACGAGACACGGTGACAACACAAAACTCACATGTCCTTCTTAACAGTCCGAGGTCAGAGCCAGCAAACACATACATCCAGGGTAATCCGAAGTTCGTAGTCCAATAGAGACAGTCCGATAATCATACACCGTGGGCGAGGCAGAAGAGAATGGTCCAAGAAACAATCCGGGTCAAAACACAAGATACCAAAACCGAAGGAATGCGGGAAAGTCAGAGCTGGGGTCTAGAACAATCTGGCAGCGTCCT